GTAAGCCCAGAATGGAAAACTATGAAATGATATAACCATAGTTAGAGATATTCCCCAGAGTTTAGTGTCTGTTCTGTCTCTTAAAAAAGTTTTTGATCCTGCCTATTGCTACAGACTGTTCATTCATATGCAACTATGTATGTGTTTATTTGCTTCCCTTAAAAATCTTAGCTCCGCACGTCAGCACATTCTGTTTTATGGTCTGTAAAGATAAAGAAACTGGAAGTGGAAAAAGGAGTCTCTCATCTGTCTCACTCTCTCAGTGCTGTGATATTCCTATATTATCCATTATTATGTTTTTCATTGGAGCTGGAAATCCCCTAAACTTCTTTCATTTCTTCTTTAATTTCATTTTTCCTGGCATTCAGTTATGATTTTCTTTTGCTCAGCTGCGCTGCGCACTGTACTGCCTCGAACAGCCATACCATGACTCATATACCGTCAGTATTTCTCTTCAGTGGTTGGTGAACTAACCAGATCAGACTTAGTTCTCTGTCTGTCTAGCAGAGGTCTGTCCTTCCCCCTTTCATTCCTCCTGCTTTCGTACAGATTCCATTCAGCGTGTCAGCATCTTTCCAACAGTGGGATTCCCAAGGTGGTCAACAGCCCTCTAGGCCCTGCCTAAGGAGTTTTTCTATTACAGAAAAGATGTTAGGGCATAAGGAACATTAATTCATTGCCTGTGTTGTCAGTGGACAATGAGCCCAATTCCCCTGGCATCATAAAACTCAAGCTAAAGGACTAGGGTTGAAAGGCTTCAGTAAGTAGGAATGCAATTTCGACTGGGACTGGGGCCACAAATAGACAGAAATGTTGCAAATCTGAGCGTCCTCTCATCTGCTTTTTAGCCATCTTGTCACCTTCTTGTCCATATCGCCCTGAGTGAGCTGTCTGTGCTTCCTGTAAGGATGGAGAGCACTAGGTGCCCGGGAATGGGACTACAGGGGTCAGGGCATTAGAGATCCAGGACATGAGCAGGGAATTCATCATGCTAGACGGATCAGTAGATCAAAGCAGCATCTACCCTATGCACGTCCAAGGGTTTTTCTTTGGACTGTAAGGTCCCTATCATGCATGTGGCTTACAGCTGCCTGAAGGACCGGTCATTCGTGCGATCCCGTATGTGCCCCTGGGTGCTGGAGTGCTGCTGATGCTTACCTGGAGCAGAGCCTCCGGTTTAGTAGCCTTCGAAGGAAATCCC